GCGTAGGGGATCGACTGTTTTCCCTCTCTGCTTAGCTCCAGGTTACGTCACAACTCCCCCAAATAATCTCCTCCAGCTACAAAGCATGAGATAGTGTGGCTATAAAAGGATATAAATAAGTGAGCAAAATGTGGGCTGCAGGTGATCATCATATGCCAAACAGACTAACCAAAATAAGTCAAACTTGGAGAGAGTACTCCATGTTCAATTTTGACCTCCAACTTATTAAAAATGTGTCATAAAGACTTATTTCTAGCCAAGGAGGCGATAACTTCTATTCCTGGTATTCTTTGAAAAATGCTCCTTTTAGGTGGATTTCTTGCACCTCATCCATAGATGTTGCAAAAATACATACACAAAAGTGTGCTGAGGAAATTCTGCACTTCCCCATTAGCCAAGCCTCCTGGTTATTGATACAAGCAATAGGCTTTGGGTAGCCTAGCCAGGGGCTCATTTTCCAAGATTATTCAACACCCCCTGAAACCTATTAGACTACACATGTAGCCTTAAGTTTCATCATATTAAAAACATAAATAATTAATGCCAATGCAAATTCTTAAAAAGCCTCCTCTGCTCTGTTCTCAGTTGGATGTTTAAAATACATACCTTGATCCTGTGAGTGAAAGCAAATGCACTGGAGGAGGACCAATATTGAGTAGCAAAACAATAGCTTGTGTAATCCCCCTCTCCCACTGAGTGTTAACACAGCCATTGTTTCCTTTTTATGTATATCTGTATGCTGATTAAGTCCCACATGATGTGGGATGCAGCAAGACACAGAAGCTGAAATATTCATTCATTCATTTATTCAGCCAGTAAGTCAGTCAGTCGTTTGGAAGAGGCTGGTCAGTTTGCACACAATAACCCATATGGCTGCTCAAGTGATCGCAGCATTTGAAAGCGACATTTCCTCCTTGGGGGTACTTGTGAGTTTTATCCCAGCGTCTGTGTATTTATAATTGAATCGGAATGACATGGTCTGACGACTGACGGCGCCACTCAAACCAGAGAACTGTCATTGCAGTGTCAATAAGGCTGGCCCCTGCAGCTACTAGGACTAATTAGCTGATAACAGTCTCTGTTGGCTGGCATGCATGCCAGACTGTGTATGTGTTTGTGTGGCATGGTGTGGATTTTGTTTGTGGTTTATTATCCATGTTTGCATGGACGTTGCGTGATGTGTGTGTGCATGGACGTGCGTGTGTGTGTGTGCGTGCAAGTGTGTGTGTTGGAGAGGGCCTTTTTTTTTTCCTGACACCTCCCAGCCTCCTCTCTGACACTGTGATCCATCCATCTACTGCATGGAAAGCAATTAACAGAGACCTGACCTCTACAAGGATTTGGGGTGGGCAGACTGTATGTGTGCTTGTGACTGCGTGGGTGTGTGTGCATGTCTAACACTGTCATCTGCTGAGACTATACCTACTGCTCTATACTCACCGGAAGAGCAGCAAACTAAATATAACTCTGCACGAACATAAAGCGTAATTAAGACAGTTGGAAACACTGAGACATGAATGATACATTTTGATATGCCTGAGGACCCAACTGCAATTATTCAAAAGGTTGCCATCTTTATGCGCTTTTGTCCTGACATCCTCCCTGACGCACTTGAACCCATAAAGTAACCCTAAAACACCCAAACCATATGTACAGTTTTTAGAACGTCATGTTTAATACCAATTAAAGGTGACAACAGCCATTTATGTAACTGTGAGGAAATATTTAGAGCATGAAAAGGATGCAGCTTTGCAGCTTCTACACCTACAAATAATTAAGCTATTTATAAAGTAGGAATGTGTGGATCAACATTCTCTTCAGCTGTAGCTTCACTCGGTACGACCCAACCTCCACAAGCAATGCACCCTTAGTATATAAACTGGAGTGTGGAGAGAAAACAGGGTGAATCTTACTGGATTTTTTCTCCATTTACGTGTCCATGCTTATTCCTTAAAGGTCATGTGTCACCATGTATTTTCAGCAAAAATAAAGCAAAAACAAACCAGGCAAGTTATTTTTCCATTCTTGTTGTGTATGAAGCTGAATAAAGCGAGTTGTAACTGTCCACTTCATTGAGTTATAGTAAGGGCCTATAAGACCTTAACCTGTCTGTTTTTTTACACTGGGTTTTACTGCTCCATTGTTGCTGCATTGTTATATGTGGAAAAATAATGATAACTGCAGAATCAGCCAGTTTTCCTTTGCACAGATACTACAGCCATTTAATATTAAAGACATGAATATGGAGGACTTGAGAGATACATATTAAAAATAAAAACAGCCAAAGAAGTTGAAGCACCAGAGGCAAAGACATATCCCGTTAGTCTCTGGTTTGGGGAACGCTCTTAAAATGCTTGATCCTAAATTTTCCATAATCCATCTCAAAAGCATCTTTTAATAACCCTGATTACCATTATCATCAGGTTTATTTCTTTTAAACTTTGGAAAGCTCCCTTTAAAGCCACAGAAGAGATTATACAAATATTTAATAATTGTTTTTACAAGCTTGGTTATAGGTATCAGAACTGAACTTCATGTGTACAAAAAAAGGGGTCCTTTAAATATTTTTTCCCTTTTCTTCTGACCTTATTAAAACTCAATATGTAGAAAGTGATTCAAGTGAAAACCATGATCATTGCCACAGAGCTTGCACATCATGGAGGTGACAAAATATGGAAATGTCCATAAAGCATTGTCACACCAACTGCAGTGTGTGCATGTGTAATTTGGGCTACGTGTGAAAATATATACATATATATATTCCTTTTGATTGCCATAAAGTCAATCATACACCAACAAATATACAATATGTCATCCTACAGAGTGACGTTACTCATATTTGGGACATGTAAACATAGAGAGGATTACATGTGTGATGTCTGAAACATGCCATCAGTTCAAAATCACATAAGCAAAAATCATGAGATATCAAGCTGATACAAGTCTATTTTTTTGAGCTGTTAAAGAGGGGT